CTAAGATAGCTTGGACCCAAGCCATTTAGAGCTTTAAAGGTGATAACCTCAAGTAGAAGATAACCTCAAGTAGAGGTGTGTCCTCTATAACAAATTTTCATCTTCCAGATGTTTTGCACCTTGGCTCCCTAAATCCCTGACCATTGGCCAAGCTGGTTAGGGATGCTGGAAGTTGAAGTCCAAAATACCTGGAGAACCAAATATTGAGAACCACTGCTTTATAAAATAGGGTACAGCCACCCTTGACAATGTCCTTTCTTTACCTGTCCCATGAAATCAGTGAAAAAGAGCATGTTGGAAAGGAAAGCTGTCCATCCCATCAAATGGCTCACACACAGACAACGGTAGTGGGATGGCATACTTAGAAGTGCTTTTAGGAGGGACCTAATGGTCATTTGCCTCTGGACCTGAAAAGAAGAAGAGAAGAGAACGAAATGGAATGCTTTGTTTTAAAATATCCTAAAAATATTGACAGAATATGGCATCTTCCTATCCAGTATTTTCAGCTTTAAAAAAAGCACACACACAGTCAATCAAATCAATATATGACCTTCTGCCTAAAAAATGAAATGCCAAGCCAAAACATACCCCTCTAACACCGGAACTTCTAAGGTCTAGGCTTTGGTCATCTCCAAAATTTTGTGAACTGAACATAAGGCAGATGCTAAGAGGCACCTTTCATGGATAACACCCCCCAGGCTGTCTCTACTCCTACTGAGATTCCAGCAGGTGAGCAAAACTGTAAAATCCCTTCTGGCTTTTGATGTTAAAATCTGTTCAGGGCTCAGGGAGACAAAAATGTAATGAATAAATGAGCTGCCTTGAGTCCCATTGTTGGGAGAAATGTGAAATATAGATGTTGTTGTTGTTGGATCATCATCATCATCATCACATTAGGAGTCTTAATAAGAATGATAGCAGAAAGGAAAAGGTCGAGATTCTCTACAGTCCCAATCTAATCACAGCTACAAAAGGTTGTATGCCACATTGCTATAGGGTGCATAGAATCTATAGCAGGGGTAAGCAGCCTTTTTGAGCCGGGGGCTGGGTTGCTGTCCCTCAGACAATTGGGGGGCTGAAGCACCAAAAATAAATAAATAAATAATTTTTTTAAAAAAACTAAAAATATATATGCATGCACACTCTCTCAGCCCCAGAAAAGCCATGGCAAAACTCCTGTGGAGATTTTGCCAAGAAAACCCCAAGAACAAGTAATAACAACAATAATCAATATTATCATGGTGGGTGGTGGCGGCAGCGGCAGGACCAGCCTGGGGCCAGTCCAAAGGCCTCGGGGGGCTGCATTCGGCCCCCGGGCCTTAGGTTGCCTACCCCTGATCTATAGGATGTACCCCAAGATGCTATAGGATGTATAGGATCTATAGAATGTATGCTACCTTGAGTTCTATGACAGTATAAAAACCAGCTATAAATGTACAGAATAAACATTGAAAGGCAACAGTATTTCCTTCTCCAGAGATGCAGGGATGACAGGGTTGGATGACTTGAATGACGGTAAATGAATCAGCACATCAAAGCAGCATTAGAAGCACACCATAGTTGTGCCTTTGGATGATTGCAAAAATGATGTAAGAAATCTTATCCCACGACAATTGCTTCTGATGAACTTCCCAGCAGCTAAAGGGCTAAAAAAATAGAGACATTTAAAAGAAACAACAGAACATGAAGATGCTAATGGTGAGGATGCTGATGCCTAATTGAACCAAATTCTTGAGGATCACTCCCAGATTATCATATTGAACTGGCACAAATCTGGACATGAAGTCATCCTGATTAGATTTTGTGCCACGTTGTTCATACTGTTTGCTTGCAATGCAAATTCTCTCTGTGCTCTGTACTCTGTGCTCCTAAACTGTCTGAATTCAGCAGGGAAGATCAACATAGAGAAGCAGCCTTATAATCCATCTTGCTTATGCAGAGGAATATCTAGAATTATTTTTATTGTTTAATTATGTTTAAACTTAGTACCTTGTGGATTTTTAACAATTTTTTAAAATCATTGTAAGCCATTTTGAGTCCCAATCTGGAGAAAAGGCAGGACAGAAATACTAATACTAATAATAATATGAATTGCAAATCACATGGGAATCCACACACAAAATTTGACTCCATTGGATTGCTTGAGCTTTGTTATTTATGTGGTAAAGGAAGTTTCACCTGAACCAATATATGGTAAATGCATTTAGCATTCAGCAGCATTAATTCTGCAATTTTACAACAGTTTTAGACTCTGAGTAAATCCAAGTAGGTTGACTTGGGATTGCTATATGTTTAATCAAATTTGAGGTCTCTGACATTAGAGCAGGAACCATGTGAAAGTTATATTATAATGCAAAGAATATCTGGTGGATTGCCTGAGTCCTTTTGATTAAATGTGTTATCTTGAGAACTTGGCTGCAAGACAACTTTAACATGGCACCACCTTGCCAAGTCCATTCTTGGCTTAATTTCAAGACATAAAATCAGAACAAAATTAATCAAGATCAGTGAACTCAGACAGTTGGGCAGGGACACACATACTGCTTTTGGGGATCAATGCCCATAGATTAGACTTCCAAATGAAAAGCTAAAGGTTTTTTATTACAATTTCCAAATGGAAAGATGCATTCATGTAGCATTGTCAAATATTAGAAATTGACTCAATAAGACTGAGAAATGTTATGAGTGGAACAGAGAAAGAGAGAGAGAGAGAACTCAACATCCTGATTATGACCAAGTCCTATGTGACTTAAATTTAGACCTAACTTTAGTCCTCCAGCTGTTATGGACTTCAACTCCCAGAATCTCCAACCAGCTTGGCTAACAGTCAGGAATTCTGGGAGCTGAAGTTAAAAACATCTGGAAGACCAAAGTTTGGGAATCACTGGCCTAGATTATCTGAAAGCTCATACTTCTCCATGAGCCTACCCTAGGAGTTTATCACACACACTTTTCAGCCCGATCCGTACATGGGACAGAACTGGGTTGGAATGGGGAAAAATGGGTTTTATGGCACATGAAATTGCTGCTGTGCTGCCGGCTGACCATCACTTGTCCCCGATCCTGCCTCTGCTAACCGATTATTTTGGTACTACGGAAAGCTTCCGTAGTACCAAAATTGGCCATCAAAGGCTGGATAAGGACAGGTGTTGGTTGGCTGGCAGCACAGCAGCAATTTCATGAGCAGTAAAACCCATTTTTTACCATTCTAGCCTGATCCCATCCCATGCACAGATCAGGCTGAAAAGTGTGTGCGATAAACTCCTTGGTCTTAGGATCCTGAGGCTTTCTCATCACCCCACCACTTTCAGCCTTTTCTTGTAATTTCCCAGGAGGGTGGCTGCTTCCAAGCTATGAAACACCTCCCCAAGGGAAGCTTGGTTCCTCCCCGGCTTCTCTTTCCATCCATGGACAAAGATCTTCTAATTTAAATGGGGCTTCAGCCTTTAACTGGTTGGAAAGAAGTTTCAATACACTGTATTTTTAATATTGCAGTGGGCCCTTAGTATCCTCTGAGGTTTGATTCCAGGATCTCCCATGGATACCAAACTCTGTGGATGCTCAAATCTCATTAAACACAATGGCACAGTGAAATGGTGTCCCTTATATAAAATGGTAAAAACAAGGTTTGCTTTTGGAATTTATATATTTTTTTGAAATTTTCAAGCTGTAGATGATTGAATCTGTGGATAAAAAATCCGTATATACAGACAGCCAACTGTATTATTATTATTATTATTATTATTATTATTATTATTATTATTAGCCCACCCTCCTTCTGATATAGGGAGTCAAGGAGCTCAATATGTAATATGATTTGAATGTGTTTTGGGTTGTTCAAACATTATTTTTTTAATTGGACTGACTTTTGTAGTGCATACTGTATCGTTTTAGCTATTTTGTTTTAACATATTGTAAGCTGCTTTTTAAAAGCCAGCGTGGTATAGTGATATGAATGTTGGACTAGGAGACTGGAAGACCAAGGTTCAAGTTGCTGCTTGGCCATGAGTGACTTTGGGCATGTCACATTTTCTCAGCCTCAGAGGAAGGCAAGGCCAAACTCCTTCTGTACAAGTTGTATCATCCCCGTGATGTGTTTGCTTTAGGGTCGCCATAAGTCAGAAATGACTTGAAGGCAGACAACAACAACAAAGCTGTTTTGGGTCCCATACTGGGAGAAGGACAAGTTATAAATTAAATAAATAAATTTGTTGGTGTTTTTTTTTTTTAAGACAAAATTTAGGAAGCTGGCCTATACAGAGTCAAGTGAGTGGGACATCAAGCCCAGTGCTGCTGATATTGGCTGGTAGCAGCCCTTGGGAGATCCAGGCAGAAGTCTTTCCCAGCCCTATGTGGAGATGCCTGGGATTGAACATGGGCTCTTTTGCATACAAAGTACGTGCTCTTCCACTGAACTACACTCCCCTTCCCTACTTCCCCTCTCCCAAACAAGTAGAAAGAAAGCACCATCCATTTAGTCTAGGATTGTACAACTCACAGCCTGAAAGCACCCCTCAATGTATTATGCACCCACCTAGCTTCTTACTCTTTTCTCCTGGTATCTTGGGATAATTGGCACAATTTAATAATTACATGCAAGATAAACATCCCAGCAAAAAGCAACAACAAGCCGTACTGCAGAAATAATCCAGTTAGACACCACTTCAACTGCCATGGCTCAATGCTATGGAATTCTGGCAACTGTAGGTTTTTGAGATATTTAGCCTTTTCCATCAGTGCCACAACAAACTACAGCTCCCAAAATTCCAAAGCATTGAGCCATGGCAGTTAAAGCGGTGTCAAACTGGATTATTTCCACAGTGCAGACACTGCCAAAATGTCTTGCGGCTTCATCTTTATTAAAGTCTGAGTTTTTCTGGGCTAGAGTCCACATAGTCAGATGCAAATGAAAAAGCAATGGGACCACAAACCCCAGGATTCCATAGGATGTTGCTATGGCAGCTCAAGTGGAATCATAGTGCTCTAACTGTCTAGTGCAGCGGTTCTCAACCTGTGGGTCGCGTCCCCAGCGGGGGTCGAACGACCAAAACACAGGGGTCGCCTAAAGCCCTTACTTCTGAGGGAAGATACACATGGAAAGGCTGTAGCCTTCCCTGAGGGGAGAAAGTTACCCCCCCCCCCAGCTCTCCCAGTTCAGAGTAAGAAGGGCCTAGTATATCGCGGCTGGAAGTACTTTCAACCCATTATGTATATATATAAATATAGATAGATATATATTTTTAAAAGGCCTGGGAACAGTCGAGGGAAGGAAGGAGGGGTTCGGCCTGACGCCTTGAGGCTCTCCCTGTCGTCCTCCTTTCCTCACAAGTTTCCTGAAGCTGAGGCGAAGAGGAGGGAATGGCAGAGCCGTGTCCCGCTCCTTCTGCTTCTTTTCTCCTTCTT